AATAAAAAAAAAAAAAAAATAAATAAATAAATTATGCCTAAAAATTGATGTAGAATTAATTGGAAATTTACTATATTATTGAAAGAAATATGTATGTACGATATTTGATATACCATTGAAAAAATCTGCATGGACAGCTTTCTCACTTGCTGTAAGATCTACTAATAACCTACTACCACCAACCTGAAATCAATATCGTATACTTTATTATGAGAAATTATAATATAAATTACTTATTACGAATTTGTAGAGCGTACTTATTGCTAGTGACTAGTGCAAAATCCTTGACATTGTTATTAACCATGACATTGACATTTTGCCCTAGTCTATTGTCAAAACAATATATACATATAATTTATATTACCTCATCTAATTCAACGTAAGGTCCAGCTCCTTCAGGGAACATTTCATCAGCTACAAGTGTTGGCTTCATATTGAAATATATCAATTTACCTGATGTATGTTTAATTTGTCAGGATGAGAGAATTCCAATTCAAACCTTATAAATTGCAAGATGCACGTGCGACATAAAACCACATAAAACTAGCGACTACGATCGTTACAATTAAAGTTGTCCGTGAGCCACGTGTCCAATCCAAATCCTGAGACAGGATGAATTATGTATATATATGTTATGTCGCTTGATCGTGTATATATGTATGCCTTATCGTAGGAAAATGAATCGAAAAAGTTTAAGATCTATCGTTCTGTGGTTCTGATTGATCAAAATTTCAAGATGTCAATGTTTTCGATGTTTATGTCACTTTTATAAGATCTCTAGATAAGAATGCGCCATGAAAATTTTGAAGCATTTGACTGACCAATCAGAGGAAAGAAATTATTGTTTCCTTTGTTCTGATTGATTAATTAAATGAAACTTTAGCGTCAAATGGGAGAAGTGATGTTGTTTTCTTGTTCCTCATATTATCAAGAGACACGACAGTGTTTCGCGCCAAATCACGCGCAGTAACATCGAAGCACGCCACGTGTGTTTATTCACGCGAGTCGGCCAGTTCACATTTCTGAGATTATCGGATTCTCGTATTACAGTCCAAGAGTTTTAGGTAATAATTAAATGGGGAGAATTTATTTTGCAATTGATATTTTACGTATTGTCAAAGTCTAAACTCTGATAAAATAAGCAAAATGTCAGGAAAATCTCAGGTAAGAGCATTAATGCTAATGGAAAAATATCAAGAGTTAAAAACCGAGATTGTGTAACCCCGAAAACTTTATTCACACATTGTATATTTTCTCGCGCTATATCTCTGCTAACGCGAATATTTAGATATGACTCTATACAAATATGTTAAAAATAACTTTATTCGTAGGTATTACGACATTTTTGGCGCCCATGTTCGTACAGATCTTGATTTCGAGCAGAGTTTCAAGGCCAATTCAGATTTACTTTAGGAAGTATCGATGCTGGGTGATGGTGGCGCTATTTTCGTAATTCCGTATCAGCTGATAACATGACCACATATGACACGACTAGACTGCACTGGTCGTGCCATTGCGACGACTTCCTCTGTGTTCACGATCTAGTGCACACGGCAAGATTTAAGAGAGATATTTTTGTTATTTTTTTTTTTGCTTACATATTTTTCACCGCGATTATTGTTAATTATTGTTTAACAAAGAACGAGCAAGTGCGATTAATAAAAATCGCGACGTTCAAGGAATCGTCGGTTTAATCGACATTACATCAAAATGAGTAGCCAGAAGACGGTGCCAAACAGTGTCAAGTTCCTCATTGGTGGCACTTCTGGGTTTGTGCCTTTTTCTTTTTTTTCATTTTGTTTCTCTTGGACACATATCTATAATATATGTGAATAAATGAGGGGATTGTAATATTGGCAGTGTATCTTTATAAAATATTCATTATTCTTTGATAATTATCAGTGTTTTGCAATCAATGAGTTTTGAAGGTCGAATGATCATAATTTCAGATTTTGCAAAAATTATTTCTCATTGATTATTTTGGCTGATTATTGTTAATAATTAAAAAAAAAATAGGATATTTGAGTTTTCATGATGATGCAATATGTATATA